TATGCTTGAGTGTTTTTCTTTTTCTTTCCTCCTCCATCAGCAAATATAACTTTCATCTTGAACTTGACTACAAGAATATAGCTTAATCTCATAAAAGTTTTGCTTGCAAGATTCAGCTTTCAGTCCTTTCAGTCCATTTCTAAGTCTAATTTAACCCATGCCTTTCAAATGCTGTATTCTGGAGCAAGCTGCACTCGTGACAATGTAACAACTGTCCAAAACTTTTTACAAGCAAGTCTCAAGGTGAATTCAAATCATTTCAAGGCCTTCTCGTTAGTTTCTGAGAGACATCAGTTCTAACTGCCAGCTAGCATTTAGTAAGTCTTATCCATGAGACTCCATATGATAAACATTAAGTATTTAACAAATCAATAATCCAGTTCATTAAGGCAGACTAATCCATTAATGCATCAACTATTCTATAAAAACAGATTTTCACATATTTGTACACTACATATTACAGTCAGTATAGCCCAAGACAGACATGAGAATCACCTCAACAGCTCGCAGAACATCTCTGAAGACTGAGCGCTGCTTTCTTTTATCTACTTTGGCTCGGTGCTTGTTTCCATCCGTAGCTAGAGCTCTTAATTTCTCTGTTAGAAGTTCCATATCTTCATAAAAGAAATCCTAGTCCAAAAAAGAACAATTTTCAGTTTCTGGACTTAACAGCCTACCCTGCATTCTGGGCATCTAGACCTCATCTTATTGACCTTTCATTCTGCTATTTAAAGACAGAGGGTGAGTGACTGTCCAACTGCAGTGCTCTTAGGGCAGAGAGAATGAAGTCACAGGATCCATTTACCCCAGACAGATACTAGCAGCTCTATGCCAGCAGCCAGCCATGTGCAGCACAGCAGGGCTCCCTCAAGGTGCCTATACAAATATACATATACCCTGTCACTCTGTTCCGCTCCATAGCAGAGCCCAAGGGGCTCAAACTGCCTATGTGATGTGTTGAACCTTACACTCTAAGCACTCGGCTTGTCAACAGCACTGGCAGCGAGTAAGCTGGTTATGGGCACAGAATTCCTGCCTTCGGAGATCATTGAGACACACCATTAGGCTGAACAAAGGATATTCAATCCCATGTTTCATATGGAGGGAGAGGGTAAGTTAGAAAAGCTCTTCTTTTTTTTTTTAGAAATATATAACAGATCAAGTAAAATTTAGTGCATAAATGTTGGCAGGCAGTACTTCTATCCTCCATTTACTAACTCAGTGGCAGTTTGCCTGAAAGTGAGCCTATTAATTGAACATTTTGTCTTATAACTTGAGTTTACTGTAAGCCTTTTGAAAGACACTGTTCAAAAGCAAAAATACAGTATATATTTTTTCTAGTTTACAGTCTTGGTTAAATAGAATTAAATTAACCAGAGATTTTGAGCAACTGAACTCTTACTCTCTAATGCAGTTTAAGTTTAGTCACTTGCAATCAGCTTGATCAAGTAAAGGATCCATTTCAGGCATCATTTTCCTTTCTTTTGAAGCTGGCTTCCATAGCCAAGACTCAAATTCTTCCTGTTTAAAATTAACCAAAACTCTCAGCACATTGTTTCAAGTCATGTAATGTTAGCCTGTGTTACATCCTGACTCAACTGGAGATGTGCTTTGCCACAGTGCACTGTCCAAAATGAAAGGAGAGCAGCCTTGACCAAGCTACAAGCCTGTGCCTGACCAAGCTCTCAAGCTGTGCCGTGAATAAATGGCCACTACTTTCTTCAGTGCTATCAAGAAAACAGTTCAGAAATTAGTAAGACTAATTGGATATACATCATTAGCTCCCTCCAGAACTGCCCCCTATTACAACTGTCTCCAAAACGGTCACAAAGGCCATACTACTTAAGTCAACCCTTTTAGAGGTACCCAAAGATGGATGCTGAAAAAACAATGCTAAAAGTCACCATGGTTTCTACTCAAGAGAAAATATCAGCTGTGAGAGGAGGATCATATGCAGATTGGCAGTGACTGACTGTAGAAAACTAAGGAACCTAAAGAACACTCTGACTGCAGTTACTGTTTCATCTTGAAACATCTCTAAGAAAACTTTTTTTACAAGTTAATGTTGGATTTAGACATTACAGCTACACACTACATTTCTGATATGCTCTGAAGTATCATTTAACATTTTATTAAATTGACTGGGTTTTAAGCCATTTAAGTTGATGTGAAACATTAATAAGTCACTGTAAAATGTCACCATGGTCAAAAACTAGGGCAGCATCCCTACAAAGAACAAGCTCAGTGGATCATCTGTCAATTGCTGAGATCAGGGAGGCTATATGACAGTTTAACAAGGTCATTTTGTCATCACCCAAACACAACAAAAACTCAGCAGCTGACTTGTACTTACAGCATCTGTTTCACGTGCCAGTTCAAACAGAAGAGCTAGTGTTTCTCCAGCAGCTATTCTCATGTTTACATCATCACAAGACAGCAGACTTGGAAGCTTATGTAAGTGCCTAAAAGGGTTAACCACAAAATAAACATGCAAATTTCATTGATGTTGCTTCATTGAATTGAAAACAAAAAACCCACACCATTACACTTGCTTTCTAGGAAGTTACTGACATTTCAATTTTCTTCTTCACTTCATTCATTGGACAAATGGTGAGCAGCAGTGTCCACGCCAAGAGAGCACTGATGTGAAGAACAGTGTTGTGTGTGCCTGACACAGCATTAGTGTCCCTGTCTCGCTGGTAAGCCTTGGTGAAGATGGTCTCAAGGCACTCCATAGTGGAGTACAGCTCCTGAACAGGGAAAACATCACACAAAACATCATGAACAGGGTTGAAGATGTACATATTTTCATCCTGTTTCAAAATAAATATAAATGTTCTCCTTACCGTGATGTCATCAGTGACAATGAAACAGCAAATCCCTAAGCAGGTTGCACACTAGACAGAGAGAAAGGAAGAATGTCAGTGTCTGACATGAATAATTATGCTGACAAATCCTAAACTTGTATATTTAACACCTGGAGAAATGGAGGCCTGAGATTAAGACTTCACAGAACAAAACCTTCATCACCGTTAACACAGCTACTTTGTAATAGTTACTTTTTAGTTTCTGTCTACTCAGGGATTTTCTTTTCACACAGTA